GTGTGTGTGTGTGTGTGTGTGTGTGGCTAGCAAGGTAAAGGGAAGAAGAACACCTAACAGCATCTGTTGCAGGGTACCACACCTGTCTACCTAACCTCATACATACCCTTCTCGCTTGCATATGCTAAAAGTGCTCGTGTCAGTGGAAATACTCAATTCCTCCTCAAAGATATATATGTATATATAACCCAGAGGTTTATCCACTTAATGCACTTGGCCACTCATCCAGGACTTTTGGGTAGTATGTAACCTTGTCCACCAGGTTCATATGGGCCTGTTCATGGTCTAGCAGTGGGTACCTAAGAGAGAAATTGTTGGTTCCCAACACACCCAGTATTCAATGATGAAGAAGAAATTGGATAAGTACTATATAAACTCCTATTCAGAAGGACAACTTGGAAGCCACCTTTAGTAGTCACCACTCCGTAGCACATAGATTAAGAATTGTTACTGATCACTTTGTACCTGCAAAGCATTGATGTCCCATTGGTCTCTCCAGCTCTCCTACCTTTTGCCTTCTGATTCCTATTCTAGACATTCTGTCTTAAGGAAGGGGGAGGACTTTCTCTGCTTTGTACAAAGGAAGACCATAGATGACTGGGAAAGTAAGAAAAATTATTTAATCTGGAAAAAAATTGTAAGATCATTGATGCCAAAAATTGCCATTAATGACAAAGGAAGGTGGTATAAATGTGTCTATATATAGTCACTTGTATCTTTTAGCTATTCATCTCTGTATTTATATATATTTGTGGTTTTTTCTCAGTTGTTACACTTGAGCATGTAAACTTTTAAGTATTTTTTTGCATGTATTTGTTTGAAATACAACCTATAGCTTCGGCCCACCCCAGACCTCATAATTTTATGCTTTGTAAACACAGGACTAGTGAGTGGAAAGAGATTGGCATATTGTAGGAACTGACAGAAGGCTAGCATGCCTGAGCATGGTGGAGGGTAGGTGCTGTGAGTTGATATTGGAGAGGTACACAGGGTCCAAATCCTGCTGGCGGTGGGCATGGTGAAGGAGGTTGGAGTTTATTCTGAGTGCATATGGAGCCATTAATTGGTTTTAAGCAGGGAGTGACAGGATCAGATTTATGTTTATAAGATAACTCTGGCTCCTATGTGGGAAATGGATGGGAGGGCCCAAGAACAGAAGTAGGGAGGTGAGTGTAGAGATTCCTATCTCAGAAGTGGCACAGCATGATGGGACCAGGTAGTAGCAGTGGAGTTGGAAAAAAGTGGAAAAACTTGAGATCTATTTTGGAGATTGAGCCAAAAGACTTGGGGAGATGGGTTTGAGGAGATACGTTAACGGGTTCCATTTTGGACAAGTTAATTTTGAGATTACTTAAGCAGCTCAAGGCTGGAGGGGTAAATCTAGGAACCATCAACAAGGAGATTTGTTTAGACCGTAGGATGGGTGCTGTCACCTAGGGAGATACTGCAGAGAGGCTGTTGCTTAGTAATTTTTCTCTGCCTCCATGCCTCTATTTAGGGAGATCTTATAACTTTAAGATACAGCTTAGTTTTCATTGCTTTTGACACCTAGGCCGACTTTGTGTTACAGGCTCCTTCCTTTGTTTACCTTTGTATTATATCACTTTTCACAGTGTGTTTATTTATGTGCTTATTGTCCTTCCCCTTTTCTCAAGGACCAGATCAATTTCCAGCAATCGGTAACTTGCCTGCACATAGCTGGCCTCTAATTAATGTTTTGTTAAATAAATATTTGAGGTAATATAAACCCCAGATGCAAATTATTATAATTAAGATTTTTAATTTCCTAAATTCAAATAGTGTTTTGGGAAATTTATGTGTATTAACCAGGATATAACTTTGAATATTCTAGGTATTGGTGATCTTTTAGTATGATCTTTGTTATTAAATAATTTCCTCATTTGTACCCTATTTTATATGTAATTAAGCCCTTTATTATACATTCATTTCATCTATATATAACCTTGAGTTGAATTGGGCAGGAATTATTATCACCATTTTTTAGAGATAGAAGAGGTTCAGAGAGTAACATCTATGGATATATTTGGGAGTTGAACCCTTACCTTCACATTGTTATTTCCATGTCATTTCTACCACACTATACTGCTTTTTCTGTGTATCACTAGATATTTGAAAAATTAATTGCATGTAGTATATTATTTACCATTTGCTCTCTATACTTAAATTAATGCTTCCTTCTGTTATTATAGTGGATTTTAAAGCTGGTGAATAGACTTCAGGTGGCCTCTAGTCCTGCTGTCTTACTGAGTAAATGGGTCTGAAGAAGTGACAGGGCTTGTCCATGATCATCCAGCTAACTAAACTGTGGTGGGACCATCATAGGACCATAGTAGACCACAATCCAGTTTGCCTCGTTTTTAGCCTAGTGGATTTCTTCTGTTCTTGGACATCCTGCCCTTTTGTTAACTTTTTACAGTTGACATTCCTGACGTAAATGAGGTCTTTAAGCTTTGTTATCAATTTAAAGGGTTAAATGAAGATTATTAAAATTATTAAAATCCATGGAGTCACTAAAAAAATTAGCACATTCTTTTCCTGTTATCAGTGTGTGTTTGTGTGTTACTTTTTCTTTTCAATAGTTCATCTTACCAGTATGGCTAAATTTAAAGTCAAATCCACATTGGAGGAGCAGGATGGCAGAGGAGTAGGAGACCTGAAGTCAAGTCCACATTATGCTTGAACCACTTATTTAGCATTTATAATGAAATGTTGTTTATACACAATTCTCTTAATATTTTATACCTGTTTGGCTCTACATACTATTCCCTGGAGGTCAGCCATACAAGGAATAGGCTGGCCAATTTCAGCTGATTCGGAGAGAGGGCGGAATTACTAAAACGTTTTAGTTCCGTTCTGCTTTCAGCCTGAAAGATTTCAGTACCAAATATGACAGTATCTGTCATTTGAGGCTACTTGACTCTAATGCAAGAACACAGTTCTGTTTTCATAAGCTCACTACTGCCCTACAGTAACCTTCAGTTTCTGGCAGCATAGGCTGGATTTGAACCAATGGCCTTGAGATGAAAGGCACCAGATAATATGATTAGTCCCCTTGCTCTCGCAGTTCCCTCACTTAAGCAATTAAAATCCAAAGCGAGATGCTTAGTAATTGCACTTCCACGTAGAAGCACAAATAAAGGACTTATTTTTTTTTAAGCTAGTCCCAAGTCTTGAGCCAAGGAGTTTAAGAACATATTTGTGTATTTTTTTAATGATTGGAAACAATCTCAGACTTCCCTGAAATCGCTTCTCATTTTGTACCTTTCTTAAAGTCATGACCATATTCTACCTTTGCCACATTATCTTCCACTGTGCAAAACTTGTGACATAGTCCTCTCCATATGTCCCACGATACCTGGGACGGTTACGCTGTGCATAATAGGTTATTAACAAATGTTAAATGTATGAATGAAATGCATTTTTAATTAAACACAGTAGCTGTCATACTGTAATAAGAAAACCTAGAAACTTCTCATTGGAAATTGAAATTGAAAGAATTAGCTTTTCAGAAATGGTTTATTCACAGATTTCATGTTTGAATACAGGGCAGAATCTAGACAGTATGCTTCATGGTACTGGGATGAAATCGGACTCTGACCAGAAAAAATCAGAAAATGGAGTAACCTTAGCACCAGAAGATACCTTGCCTTTTTTAAAGTGCTATTGCTCAGGACACTGCCCAGATGATGCTATTAATAACACATGCATGTAAGTATTTTATGCAGTCCTTCTTAAAGTTATGAGAATAGGAGCGCATTTGGTGCTATTTTAAGAATTGTTTACATTGTTTAAGGTTTTTTTTTTTCTTTAATTTTATATGGTATCTTTCCAAAGAGCCAAAAAGCTTCTTGTTCTGTATATGGGAATATTTAGTACTACTACATGATTGATGGTTCTTTTCTTACAGTAACATTGTAATATCCTTTTTAAAGGAGATAAAAGGAATCTGGTATTTGTCTAACATTTTGAGTTTATTTAATAATCTTTTTATCATAAAGTTTACTGATACTTACTGTAGAAAATTTAGAGATTACCAAAAAAGAAATTCACCCAAAATCTTATAATTCTGAATTGGTTGAAATATTTTATAGAAAGATAGGAGTTGATATTGTGATACTTAATTTTATTTTGCTTTCTTACAAGTGAGCTCCCAATCCAAATCTGATTTATATGACGGTTTTAATTTTCCTACTTAATTTTATGTTAACTATTCAACACATTTATAAATGATCATATAATTCTATTCCATATTGTTTGGGGACATTGAAGAATTGGCTTACTAGCCAAAAAAATTCCCTGAACAACACAGTCTGATCAGTGAATTAATTGTGTCCCTGTTATGAAGGTAATAACATCCTGCTTTGTACTTTCCTAGTGATTGTATGCTCTTTGAATGTCACCAGATATAAAGCCAAAAAGTATACATGTAAAATATTGAAATTGGATGATAGTTCACCATGTCTTAGATTTGTTGTTTGTCCTCTGGTGGTAGTTGAATTTTTTGTGACAGCCTGGATAATTTGTCAAAGGGGAGTGTTCCACACTATGTCACCAGGTAATTTCTTGCCAAACTTATTGTCCGTAATACGTGCCTGATATGTGTGGGCTGTTAGTGGCTTAGTAATCCAGAATAATTGAATCACTAATTTTAACAGAATTTTGCCCCACACTTAGCATTTTTCCTTACAAAAAAATTAATAATTCTGCAAGTCTTTTAAGTAGAAACAGTATACTTACTGATATGAATAAGTAAGAGCACACAAAAAAGCTCTTGTTTTTATTTTTTTTAAAGATTTTATTGATTTATTTGAGAGAGAGCGTGCATGCAAGTGGGAGGAGGGGCAGAGGGAGAGGGAGAAAGAATCTCAAGCCGACTCTCAGCTGAGCATGGTTCCCGATATAGGGCTTGATCCCACAACCCAGAGACCATGAGCTGAGCCAAAATCCAAGAGTCAGACACAACCGACTGAGCCACCCAGGCATCCCACAAAAAAAAGGCTTTTACAAGTGTCTTCCTACTCGTTAAAGTCTAAATATATTAGGGGTAAACTCCAATATACTAATACTAAAATGATAACATTTCGTTAAATACATATATATGTAAATTTCTTGAAGCTGTTCAAAAGTTATCCCTTTTTTCATATCACATTCAGTAAAATGCACCTCTCAGGATCTTAGTCAGTCTGTTATTCCCAAGTATATTTCTTTGTCATTAGTCTGGTTTTGTGTTTCATAGAAAAGTTGTTTTTATTTATTGTCTGTGGTATGTGAATACTGAAAATCCTATGGATAAAAAGAGGAAGTCTTTTTTTAAAAAGATTGATTTATTTATTTGAGAGAGAGAGAACAAGTGTGTGCGAGTTGAGGGAAGGGCTGGGCGGGGGAAGAGAGAGAGAGAGAGAGCGTGCGTGAATGTCAAGCAGAGTCCCTACTGAACACGGAATCTTGTTCACAGGGCTTCATCCCACGACCCTGAGATTGTGACCTGAGCCTGAGCTGAAACCAACAGTCAGATACTCAATCGATTGAGCCACCTAGGTGCCCTAAAGAGATAGCCGTTTTTAAGCATATTTTTAAAACATTAAGATTCTTTACTTTGTAAAATTTTATAAATCAGCTTCCTGTGATCACATGGCTGTGATTAGCAAAGAGAAGTTACATAATAATTCATATTTGGAGGGCTCATTTTAAAAGAAATTTTTCCACCTTGGACCATAAGGTTTTAGTTCAGATGCTTGAAACTCTTTCATTTGCCTGAAAACCCATAGAATTTTGCTGATAAATAACATGTGAATGCAGTTCTAGTTCAAAAAACAACGTACTAAAGGTCATTAGTACCCAGTCACATTCAAATTGAGATTTAATTGGTACTTTCTGATGTGAAGTTATGTTTTTTGGGGGGGGTCTTTTCTTTTAGAACTAATGGGCATTGCTTTGCCATCATAGAAGAAGATGACCAGGGAGAAACCACATTAGCTTCAGGGTGTATGAAATATGAAGGATCTGACTTTCAGTGCAAGGTAAGATCTCATTTGGGGCCTATGAAATAAAGAAGGGAGGGACCACGTGAAAGTATTCCTCTCTCCAGGAGAAGTGTGCCTGATCTGCTCATCATCACTGTATGTTCTTATAAATCAAATATATTGGAGGAAGCTTAGCTCTTGCTTCAAGTAGTAGGATTGTGGTAATTGAAGTTCCAGATTATTTTACTTTAAAAAAAAGTTTTAAATCATCCTGTTTTCAAATTGTCATGACTGCAAAAAATATTGTCACAGTATCACCCGTGGATTATAAAATTGGCTGGAAGGACTTTAGGGTGATGGGCAGTAACCTTTGTGTCCCTGGGACAAGTTCAGTCCTTGTAAGGAAATCTTAGTGGAGCTATTTCAACAGTAGCAGCAAAGGCATCAGAGGGCTGGTAATAAAGAGTTTATGGACATCCTGATGGCTCTCGGGTATAAACCTAATCTCTTCAAAATCCTGTATGGTAATTTTGCCCCAGCAATCCTTCCAGTGTTTTTGAAAAACAGCTTCAGACAGAACTGTTTGTTCACAGATTTAGGGTTCGACTATTTTAGGAAGTTATTCCCATTTTAAGAAATTCTCAGGATTGATAGAAACTTAAAAGGTTATATGTTCCGACCTCTGCTAAAGTTGGGGATCCGCACGTCCCCTTTGTACACCCCCCCTCCCCCTGACAAACACGTTTTGCATCCCATCTGTTTTTTAGTGCAATACCTCTAGTGACAGGGGCTCCTTGCCTCCCAAGACCTGTTTCATCTGTACGAACAACCTGACCTGATCTTTAGAAAGCTTTTTCTTCTAATGACTATAAATCCCTTCCTGCCCCTTTGGACCACAGAGGACAAATCTAAAGCCTCTTTAATAAGATAGCCCTTTACTGTGTGAAGGAAGTTTTTTGCGTGGTCCTGCGTTCCTCCCCATACTCTTTCATCTTTGCCCATGAAAATGCTAGTTCCCGGTCACATCAACTGCTCTATGTATGATCAGCTTCAGTTACTCCGCTTTCTCAGTGTTACATGCAGAATCAAGTGTGGTTTGACCAGGAACAAAAAAAAATGCAGAGAATCAAGTGTGGTTTGACGAGGAACAAAAAAAAAATGCAGGCTCCTTTCCCTTTTTCTAAATACAGCCAAATCTCATGTTAGATATTAGATTGTCATGCCACACTGTTGAAACCTGTCGAGCTTCCGGTCAGCCAAAATCCCTGTCTTTAACTCACACTTCCGCTGAACCACATCTCTTCCATTCTTTATTGGTTCTTTTGGTTTCTTGACACAAATAGGATGGGAATGGAATGAGTTTTGTTAAACAGTTGTTACATACTTGTCTATGTTAAATTTCATCATTTTAGCATTAGTCCTTTTCTGTAATTTGTCAGGATTTTGGGGGGATGCTAATTTGATTATTCCAGTTTTATGCCATTTCCATGTTTATCAACCACAAATTCTATACATTTTTTTTATCACTGAAAATATTGAAGGAAGAACTATGGTTAGAGCACTGAGCTCAACAGTAATAACCAGTATCCTGCAAGCCCCCTAAACTAGGTGTATCACAAATTGAATTCACTAATATAAGTTGCTAAAACTTCATAATGTGTATTCAGCTCCGTGTGCTGCTGCTTACTAGCTGCAGAACTTTGGGGCAAGGAGCTTTTCTTTTTTAAAGTTGTTTTCTCATTTGTAAAGGAGTTGTAAGGATCAAATGATATGATAACATATATGTAAAGAGTTTAGCACACAGGGCTTAATAAATGTTAGCTTTGATAATATAACTGAGCAGTCGCTAAGCCGGTTATGTGCATCCCTAGGTACACACAGACTGTGTTACACAAGGATCACATAGGCTTGTGGATAGTTTAGGGGAGGGTTTAGGGGAATTGCTTTCCAGAACCTAGTCCTCTTGGCCTGCCTGAGAACAGGGCTCCCCAGGCAATTTCTGTTCCTTTTTTTCCTTTGCACAATCACCCATCTCCCTCCTGGTTTACAGATTAAAGGCCTGGGACTGAAAACCTCATTTCCAAATTACAAACAGTGTTGTAATTCAAATCTAAGTATCTAAGTTCACGTGACTCTGGACAAATCACACAAATGGACATGGGTGGCGGATGGGAATGGGGGAGTGCAGGAATAAATATAAATCCCCACTAGGATCATGTCACATTTACTAGAGCAAGAAGAATTAATTTATCGAATATTTACTGTTTGTATTTAATATGCTAGGTACTTGGTATATGCTACCTCATTTCCTCACAGTTGCCCCATAAGGCAGGTGTTTTTTTGTCCTCCATTTTACAGCAGAGGAAACGAAAGCCCAGAGAGAAGTTCATCGTGCACAAAGTTAGTAAGTGGCAAAGCTAGGATTTAATAAACTTTTTGGTTCCAGAGCCCTTGCTTTTTCCATAATACCATGCTGCCTCCAAACTCTAGTTGGCCAAGTCTGCTTTCTTTTTGTTTTTTTAAAGATTTTATGTATTTATTTGACAGAGAGAGACACAGAGAAGGAACACAAGCAGGGGGAGTGGGAGAGGGAGAAGCAGGCTTCCCGTGGAGCAGGGAGTCCGACGCGGGGCTCGATCCCAGGACCCTGGGATCATGACCTGAGCCGAAGGCAGATGCCTAATGACTGAGCCACCCAGGCGCCCCTGCTTTCTTTTTCTTTAAAAAAAAAAAAAGAAGAAGAAGAAGAAGAAATAGTATAACATTTAGCTCTTCAGTCTCCAGCACTTGTTCTTGCTAAAGTCTTCCCATCACACAAGCCTTCCAGGCCTCTCTCTTCCCTTGCTGGATGTGATCACCCGGCTTTGTCTTCAAGGGCAGGCACTCATGCAGAACACAGGAGCCCTGGAGGATCTCTTCCTGTGCCTGGGAGAGTGGCTCCCACTGCACGGTGCTGATCTTTGTCCCCCTCACCTGATGTTCTGTCAGCAACACATCCATCGCTTGGTGGTCTGTCTTCTAGCATTGCCAGAGAAACCCTTTCTTCGTTTTTCTTTACATTTTCTCTTCTGCAAGGCTCAGCTCATTTTGATCATTAGCCTTCCTGCAGCTGTTCTTGGATGCTTCGTAGTCCTTGTATTCATCTTCAGTTATGTATTCTTCATTCCATCCTTCGTGTAAATGTCCTCGATCTGGGATTTCAGAGTCACCTGTATAACTCCTAACATATCTGTCTTTTCTTTTTATGATCATTTAAAAGTAAAAATTGTTTTAATGTTAAAAATTCAGTTAAAGTGTAAAACTTGTGGTTTTAAAAGTTTCCAAATACTCTTGACCCACCTTCCCTGATAGAATCTCAAATCATGGACTCCTATTCACCTTTTTAAAGTCATACTCGAGCATACTGAAGTTCTTCCTTTCTGGCCATCTGATATTTAAAAATAGCATGGTCAATTTCTGCTTATATTGTTGCTACTTTTATAATGACAAGCAATTCCTTTCTGTTACTATTTTGGTTCAGAATGGCAGTTTTCCCAGGCAGTGCTGAAATGTCAGCATTCAAGTTAATAACTTGTCAAGTACTGTACCAATCAAGTCAAACTTCACACATAATTGTTGATGTCTGTTCTCATGACTACGGTCTTTTCCTCTGCTCATTTTCTGACCTATTAGGGACGCATCTCATATCTGGTTGGTGGTAGACGCTGAGAAGCTCAGGAATATGGCTTCTATATTTTGCCTTTGTCCTCACTGCATCTGCTTTAACTTGCTTCTACGTGGGGTTCATTAGTTACAGCGTAGTTGTTGTAAGCAGACTCTGCAGTATCTTCTACTTACTCGACTACTTTTTCTGACATCTCTTTTCTTTAGACTGGGTTACCCTCCACTTAAGCACTGCTGTGAGATTCTTTGTACCCTACTAGTTCATCATTGTGATAAAATGTCTTATCCATGTTTTTTAAGGAAAAGATCCCATGACTTACATTTTTATTAAAACAAATGAATAGGGCGACTGGGTGGCTCAGTTGGTTAAGCGACTGCCTTCGGCTCAGGTCATGATCCTGGAGTCCCAGGATCGAGTCCCGCATCGGGCTCCCTGCTCAGCAGGGAGTCTGCTTCTCCCTCTGACCGTCTTCCCTCTCGTGCTCTCTATCTCTCAGTCTCTCTCTTTCTCAAATAAATAAATAAAATCCTTAAAACAAATGAATAGTTATATATTGATATGCCAAAGTTTTGGTGTAAAATACTTATGAACTTATGCTTGTAATTTATAGTTCAGTGTTCCAACACACCATCCACATACATATGTTCTCCTTAGGAAAAATAATTTCACAGTCTTCACTATTTCAGCACAGATTCTAATTTTTCAATAATCTTTTTTACACATAAAATTCAGAGGTCTTGTTCTTTCAGGTGAATTAGAAATTATATTTATGAATATTAAAAAAACCTCATTATAAACTTAAAATATCAAGCCATTTTTAAATTTATCATTACTCTTCCTCTAGGATTCACCAAAAGCCCAGCTACGCCGGACGATAGAATGTTGTCGGACCAATTTATGTAACCAGTATTTACAACCTACACTGCCCCCTGTTGTCATAGGTAGGTTAGCCGAGAAGAGCATGATCATGATTTTCAGTAAAATATTTTCTCTGGCTTTAACAGTAAGCAAGCTTTCTAGAATTTAACACTACAAATTATTTTTCCCCTTTAATATGTGATAGAAAGATAATATGTGTACTTTATTGTTTACTTCCCTTGTCAGGTCCATTTTTTGATGGCAGCATTCGGTGGCTGGTTGTGCTCATTTCTATGGCTGTCTGCATAATTGCTATGATCATCTTCTCCAGCTGCTTTTGTTACAAGTAAGATAATTATTTTGATACAAAATATTTTTTGAATATTAGATATGAGCAGTTCTTTAAAAGCCAGTGCAAAGAAATTATTGAGACACCATTAACTTGTATTCTCTGGTTCTATCTCCTTTAGGTTATAATCTCCTAACTAGATTATAATTTTCTTAAGGGAAAAGAGGACCTTACTACTAATCAGTTAGTTGAACCCAACTTTATACTTCTTGTTTTGTTCATTAGTTCTTACGATTTTTCTTATTTATGGAATATTGAACTTTCTTATATATGAGTGTTGAAGATCTGTCCCCCAAAGCCAAGTACATTATCATTCATTAGTTATTTGTGGCTTTAGAATTGTTTGTGTTTAGTCATGATTTCAGAGGACAGTTGCCAAAAGAGAAGAGTAACAACAAGAGGGGATAAACTTCAGTAATAAAGCTTTATCTTACTGGCATATGAATTGAATAGACCAAGAGATCAGTAGAACAGGTTATGAAACCCATAAATAGACCCAAGTATATAAAGAAATTTAATATATGATAAAGGGAACATTTCAGATCACTGGGGAAAATTTGGATAATTCTATAAATGGATTTGGTAGTAGGTAGCTATATGGAAAAAGATAGTTTTTTTTTTTTTTTTAAGATGAAGTTTAATCAGTTAACTACATTGGAATAAATTTTACCCAGCTTGGAACTAGATATATGGAAAATGAAGGGATGAAAGCACTGGAACAAACAGTGGAAGAATTTTAAAAAATAATCTCAGGATGTGGAAGCCCTTTCTGAGTCTGACACAAAACTGAAAAGCAAAAAAACCACATGCACAGAAAACAAAACTTTAAATTAAAAAAAAATGTGTCAATTACATAAAAATAAAACTTTACTATGTGACAGAAACCACCATAAACAGAATGCAAACAGTGAAAAATATCGGCATCTTATATTACAGAGAGCTGATTTCTCAAATATAGAGAGCTTTTATAAATCAAAAAGAAAACCTTAGCAGTTCAGTGGGAAAATGAATATTTATCTAAAAGGAAATACTTAGAGGTCTTAAAAGCAAAATAAAAAGGTGACTCAAGAATACTCACAATATGAAAAATATAAATTAAAATCATACTGAGATACTGTTTTTCACCTGTTATACTGGCAGAAATTCTTAGATAAAGAGGCAGATTGAGCATACTCACTCTTGCTGCCTCCAGTAAAAAAGCAATAGTTTTTAACTTCTTTGTCCAACTAGGACAAGGAGAACAGGAGATAACAGCAAAAAACTTTGGAACTTGGGAAGCTTTTGGATCAGTAGTAAGTGACTTTGCAGACCTAAAAAATCAGACTCCTAGGCTAGAATTTTGAGACAGTAAAAAAGCAACCAGTTTATATCATAGAATTCTTCAAGAAGCTCAAGAATTGGCAGTACCAGTTATCTCTGGAAGTAAAGTTGAGAGTGGCAGTAAAACCAAGAGGATTGCTTGAAAGTCTATTTTTAGAAAGTCAGATGCTGTGTGTGTTATACAATAGTGCATTAAGAAATCACTCCCAAACACAGTGGCTTAAAACAGCAATTATTGTCTCTCATGGTGGGTCAGAAATTCAGGAGTGACTTACTGGGTGTCAGGATCTTTCATTACATCCAGTCAGACTTCAGCAGAGGCTGTGTTCGCCTAAAGGCTTGACTGGAGCTGGTAGATCACCTTCCAAGATAAAGGTAGCGCACTTCTAAGGCTCACATATTGGCGGGAAGCCTTAGTTTCTCTGATGTGAGCCTCTCTACAGAGCTGCTTGAGTGTCCTTGTAGCTTGAAGCCTGGCTTTTTCCTCCTAGAGTGAGTGATCCAAGAGATCAAGGTGGAAGCTGCAAAGCTACATACAATCTAGACTCGAAAGTCACACCATTACTTCTGCCACATTCTCCTGGTCACACAGGTCAGCCCTACTGTGTTATGGAAGGGAACTAAACAAGGACATGCATACCGGGAGGTGAGGGTCCTCTTGGATGGCAAGTACCACAGATGATGAGATTCGCTACTCCTATTCTGAACAGTCACTTCCCCACCATCTCCCTAATAGAAGACTAGAAGTGTATTCTCTGGAAAGAACAAAGATAAGATTCTTAGTGTGGCATCCATTATTGAGAGTGAGGTATTACAGTGAAAACATGGAGGTAAACTGAATTCTTTACATACTGATTGGTGGGCCCCGTCAGCTATCCCAGAACCCTGTCAGTCAGGCTTGTTCAAATAACAAATTGGAAGAATCTTGGGGAAATCCATCCAGCGCAAGAGAAAAGACCTAAATATACTGACCCCAGTGGACCCAATGAAATGGCCCAGGCAGTCATCTTAACAGTGAAGCCTATAATCAGTAAACCCCACTCATACTAATAGCTGCCCATCAGGCAGTGAAAGACACTAATCCCCAAAAAACAGGAGATAAATGAAATGAGGCTTATGATTGCCCTCCTTACTGCCCAGAGAGAGTTTCTAGCTGTAGGACACAGGAGGAACCCAGGTGTGGCCCAGAAGGCTCTGACTCTCCAGGAGATGTAGCTGAGTCTGGGGTACGAATAGCAGTTGTAGTTCATAGGACAGAGTACTGGAGAGGAGAGTGCTTCACAGGGAAAGAACTCTGGATATCTACAGAAAGTTCCCATCAAATAGTTAGCTGAATCTTGATCAGCACATAGAATTGAGGAAACTACCCAAGGCTGGGAAAGAGTGCCTGAAAAGACTGAAGAAAACATTGTTTGATGCTCACACAATTCTGGGAATAGTGTCTGTTCCCACCAGCTGTGAGACTTGAAAACCTCATAATTCACAGGGCTTTGGTTAGAGTACTCAGAACGGTCTTGCTTCAGTATTGGAAGCAGGATTGTCCTGTTTCCAAATAGCTGTATCCTAGAACATAATTCAAGAATATTTAGAGGGATACAAAAATACCCAGCACCCAACAAGGTAAAATTCACAGTGTCTGTCATCCAGTCAACAATCACCAGGCATGCAAAAATACAACCAATACAACCAATAATGAAGAATCAAAAACAGTAACCCAGAACTGATCTAGATTTTAGAATTAGTAGACAGGGGCATTAAAATAGTTATTATATCTGTATTTTATATGTTCAAAAAGTGAAATAGAGACATAGAAGATATAAAAAGACCCAAATCAAACTTTAGGAAATGAAATCTGTACTATGTGAGATGAAATGTACACTGGATGAGATTAATGGCAGATTAGATACTATAGAAGAAAATAGGATTAGGCATGAAAACATTGCAATAGAAACTAAACAAACAGAGTGCCTGGGTGACTCAGTCAGGTAAGTGCCTGCCATCAGCTCAGGTCATGATCCCAGGGTTCTGGGATTGAGCCCTGCTTCGTGCTCCCTGCTCAGTGGGGAGCCTTCTTCTCCCTCTCCCTCTGCTGCTCCCCCTACTTGTGCTCTCTTGCTCTGTCAAATAAATAAATCTTAAAAAAAAAACTAAACAAAGTAAACCATTAAAAAATAACTTAAAAAAGGAATTAAGCACCAGTGAGCTGTGGTACTTCAAACAGCCTAATGTGTGTGTGTGTGTGTGTATGTGTGTTGAATAGTGCAGGGGTTAGGGGCACCGATGCCTGTGCAGTCAAAAATCTGTGCATAACCGACTCCCCCAAAACGTAACTACTAATAGCCTGCTCTTGACTGGAAGCCTTACCAATAAAACAAAATGCCTGATTAACATCTATTTTTTGTCTGGTGTGTACTATATGCTATATTCTTAGAGTAGAGGAAGCTCTTAGAGAAAAGAAAATGCATTAAGAAAATCAAGAGGAAAAGAAAATGCATTTACAGTACTATGCTGTATTGAGAAAAAGATCTACATATAAATGGACCCATGTGGTTCAAACCCATGTTGTTCAAGGATCAACTGTATATACACTGGAGTTCCCAAAGGAAAGGAGAGAAGAGGAGGCGAGAGAGTGAAATATTTTAAGAAATAAAGACCAAGATTTTTTTCAGATTTAATTAGAACTCTAAACCCGTAGAGCCAAAGTACAAGAAACTCAAAGAAAACTACACCAAGGTACATCATTATCAAATTGCTCAAAGCCAGTAATAAAAAAATCTTAAATGCAGCCAGAGAAAAAAGGCAGATTAAGTATAGAGGAAGAAAGGTAAGGATGATGGTAGCCGGCTTTTCAGGGGAAACAATGCATAGAGTAGAGCAGCATCTTCAAAGTACCCAAGGAAAGGGGCGCCTGGGTGGCTCAGTCGGTTAAGCGTCTGCCTCCGGCTCAGGTCATGATCTTGGGGTCCTGGGATCGAGCCCCGCATCAGGCTCCCTGCTCAGCGGGGAGCCTGCTTCTCCTCCCTCTACTTGGGCTCTCTCTCTCTGCCACATAAATAAATAAAATCTTTAAAAAAATAGATGAATATAGAACTTGGATAAAATTAAAAACAAAGTTCTAAAAGTGTTATAAGGGCGTGGATGAGAGTGTGGGGAAGATGGGCTATCCTATAATGGTGGACAGTTTGTAACCGGTATAACCTTCAAGGAGGAAGTCAATAGAGCATGCCATCAAAATTCCAAATTCAGTTCTAACTTCTAGCAATTTGTATAGAGATATTCCAGGAACTTTTTTCATTTTAGCCTTATATGACATTAAGACTAGAAACAATGTAAATGTTCCTGGTGAAGGAATGGTTAACTGCCATACAAAGGAATACTGTTTGCCACGAAAGGAAGAGGAGGCTCTATGTACTGGTGTGGAATGGGCGCAGATAGAGGGCTCAGTGAAAAAGCAAGATGCAAGGACAGCATGTATGGCATACTACCATTTCTGGAAGAAAAAAGAGAAACAGAGGAGGTGAACAGCAATATATATATTTTTTATCTAAATAGACATAAAGGCTCTCCTGAAGATTACTGAAGAGATTGTGGAAACAGTTCCAGTTCCAGGCTGTTTCCAGTTCCTCCTTGATGGCATAGGGATAGGGCAGGAGAAAGATTTTTCACTGCACATCCCT